CGGCCCTGCCGCTTTACCCCGGGGGAAAGAGCCCTCGGTACCCATTGGATAGGACGCTGGGTGGGCCCCAGAGCTGGTCTGGACGATTTGGAGGAGAGAAAATTCTTGACCCTACTGGGACTCGAACTCCGACCCCGCGGTTGTCCAGTCCGAAGCCAGTCGCTGTACCGACTACGCCATCCCTGCTCCTTGCTTATTATATTATACATATGTTCATCGATCTTTGTTAATTTCCTCCACTCTAAATAAAATCATGAAAGCGTAGTTGGTTGAGGCACTATGCTGCAAGCCGGAAGGTCGCGAGATCGAATCCCTATTAGGTAATTGGATTTTTTCAATTTACCAAATCTTTCCAGCCGCACTATGGCCCTGGGGTCGACTCAGCCTCTAACAGAAATGAGTACCAGGAATATTCTTGGGAGTAAAGGGCGGCCGGCGTGTAAGGCTGACAACCTTGCCGCCATCTATGAACCGACTGTCTAGAAAATGTGGGACCTCAACATCTCACAACCCTCTGGACCTCCACGGCCTGTTACAGGGATAGCTTTACTTACTTTTTTTACGTTTGCATGTTATTGACATGTTATGTATTTCGGTTTACTTAACGGAGCATTTAGTAACTCAGATTATGCAGCGTCGAATGCTGGAGTGAGTCATATCTTCTGGGAGATAGCACCGTGTAATCTGTTGAAATCAACTGACATTTCGGAGGAACATATCGCCTCCATCTTCAGAGTCGAAGAATAGGCCAAACAAGAACCCACCATGAGGCAAGTAGCAACATAGTGAACATCTGAACTGTGTATTGCCTCCCCTTAATTTGATTATTTCGATTAGAATAATGTTTTGGGCAGCTAAAACAAGAGAAACAAATATAATACGACCGTTTGGATTAAACTGACGATGAAGGAATACCAAAACATATTGTACAGCATAAACTAAAATGGCGCCGGTCACGGTAGCGCAGCGGTCTAAGGCATGTACTGACTTCGCTCGCTTGGAAACCGGGATCGTGGGTTCGAATCCCACTCAGGGCATGGATGTTTAGTTTGTGTGTGCGCGTTTTTCTGTGTTTGTATACAGGTAGAGGCCTTGCGACGAGCTGATCACCCGCCCAAGGAGTCCTACCGAATGTGTAAGATCTAGAAAAACCGAAGTGAACGGAGAAGTTCATGGAGGTAGGCCTAGGCCCACTGGGGCTATAGTGCCAAGGGGGGAAAAAACAACTAAAATGGGACAGAGACCGAAGATGACCTTGAAAAATGGAGTGAGTGTGAAGTGTGAGCAGACCTGATTACCTGTCCCATGAATTCTTTTCACGTAACTACGTTGTCAGTGACTTAGACTTACATAACGTCGACCTATGCCACGAACTGAAGGAGGACGCGAAGGCGGATAATAAGAAATGAAGAACAATAATTTTTGCAGTTTGGTGCAAAGGAGCAAATAAGCAGAGTCCTCTGTCTCCCCATAGTCGGTTGAGCCTTTGTAGCAATTTCGTATATGATCTTCAATTGTCTAGTGGTCAGAGTTCCTACCTACAGATCCAGAGGTTTGGGTTCGATTCCCGGCGCTACCAGATTTTCTGAGAAATAGTGGGTCTGGAATGGGGTCCACTCTGCCTCGTGATGATAACTGAGGAGCTACTTGAATGAAAAAGTAGCGGCTTCATTATTTTAAAAGTCCATTCTCAATGGGTACATGCCAGAGGACCTGATGTGTAACAAGCTGAAGTTCTGTGATACATACACTGGTTTTTCTGTCTATGGCTCTACAGGTTGGACCTTGGCCTTTTTTTTTATATCTTCACAGTCTGTGGGATTACTTGGATGGAGGATGAGCCCGTCGCAAGGCCGCTACCTACACACAGAACAACACAAACACAGAATAAACGCACATAGACATCCATGCCTCGAGTGGGATTCGAATTCACGATCCCAGTGTTTGAGCAGGGGAAGACAGTTCATGCCTTAGACCGCGCGGCCGCTGTGATCAGCAGCGGATTCTCTAGTAAAACTAGTAATTGCATTCAGACGAGCAGAAGTACTGGGGTTTGGGACTTTTTCTATCGTCCGGAACTTTAGGTAATAGAGGACACGACGTTTCGGAAACTGGATCTGTTTCCGTCTTCAGGTGAGAAAGGACCAGTGATTGAGAAGAGCTCTTTCTAAGGAGCCCAACTGAGTAGGTGTCTTCCTTTCTCACCTGAAGACGGAAACAGACCCAGTTTCCGAAACGTCGTGTCCTCTGTTACCTAAAATTCCGGACGATAGAAAAAGTCCCAACCCCCAGTAATTCTGTGTGTCATCCACCATCGTCGGAACCCTTTAAAATCTACTTGGGGGGGGGAGTCCAACTGGGTGCACTCGGCACGGCGGCCACTGATTGGCCTATTGTAGCCTGTCCCGGGTGATTATGATGATGGGGAATTTGGTGGAATGAAGATTAGCTGGGGAAGCCGAAGTACTCGGATAAAACCCGCCCCAGCGCCACTTTGTTGACCACAAATCCCACTTGACCAGACCAGGGATTGAACCCGGGCCGCCGCGGTGGGAAGCCAGCGACTCACCGCTTGAGCTATGGCGCGGCCAAATTAGAATCTACTTAATTACATTCATACAAAACAGATAAGACCAAGTTTAAAGATGCCGTCCCTAAGCTTCGGCGTTGATAATGTACGCGATATCTTGTATAAACATGGGGTTTTCTCGAATTGCTTGAAGGTTTAAATGTTTGTGGGAACTGCTGTGGCGCGCCCCCGTTTGCCTGATAACGCTTATCATTTCTGTGACCTTGAGTTTTGTAATCGACTTCCAAACCGGTTTTTTTTTATTATACGTGGCCGCTTACTCGTAGATAGGCGCGCAGAGAGGTTATGTACTTGAAATTATCAAAATGTCGTGTGCAGTCTTTACGTCACTTATCAGGTTCCTGGGCAAAACCGGGATACAGGCTGTTTCCAAAGATCAGTGTTTCGTGCTGTTGCTGTGGATTTTAGGTTGGAGACTAGCAAGAAGCAGCGACGTTGTAATTTATTATTATTATTATATGTGCTTGGAAGTACTGAAGAAAAATGATATATAATCAAGGTAGTTTTCTGAACTACTCTTTTCAGAGATGTCTGTATATATCGGGGAAGCAGTTGATCGGCGAAGGCGGTTTAATCAAATGAACATACAGTAGGCCTATTTAATTATATTCTGAAATTCCGAAGAATATGTAATGTTGAAAGTAGGGCGAAAGTAAATATCTTGGCAAGTTTCTTTTGAATTGACTAGCCCTTCTGTAATTAATTCCATCTTTAAGTCTAGATTATAAACCTCCACACTAGTAATGTTACAAGTGGAATATTAAGTTCTGAAATTTCGGAGCTATCTTTGTAGCTTTTATTTTACGATATTCTTCGATAAAATACTTTGTCCATGATATTTCGGAGTTTTCTTCAGCGCTACTTCAGATGGTCACAGAACATGATTTCAAGTTACAGCACAAAAACTGTAGGGCCTAATACAGGGTCAGTAATATTCATAATCATCATATAATCATCATTGCCGTCGTTCTGTCATCATCATCACCACAGTCACCAACATCATTAATTTTATCCTGCAAAATGCCAGGAAGGGCTGGATTTGAATGGCCCTACGTACGTGGTAATGCTGAAAAAGTTAGGTTTTGGGGGGTTGGAGAATGTAACTAACACCATGCAGCAAAATCCTTCTTGAGAAGCTGATTGTCACTCAGCTGCTGAAGAAATTCGTTCTCTTAAATGGAACCAGAATATTCATCGCCGTGTTGACAAGAGCACGCTACTGGAACCCTTCGTGGGTCTGGTCAGATTGGTCCAGTTCACACTCTTGCACACTCTTTATTTAAGATCAACTTTAATATCAGTTTCCCATCTACATCTAGTTCTCCCAAGTGACCTCTTCTTTCTTTTCGGATTTCGCTGGCTTCCCCCCGCGGCGGCCCGGGTTCGATCCCGGGTCTGGTCAAGTGGGATTTGTGGTGGACAAAGTGGCGCTTGGGCAGGTTTTCTCCGAGTACTTCGGTTTCCCCTGCCAATCTTCATTCCACCAGTTGCTCCACAATCACCCTCACCTATCATCTGGGGCTGGTACAATAGGCCAGAAGTGGCCGCAGTACAAGGGACTTAGTCTAACCCCACTAGCAATAACAAAAAAGTAAAAAAGTAAAGCTATCCCTGTAACAGGCCGTGGAGGCTCATAGGGTTGTGCGATGTTGAGGTTCTCACATTTTCTAGACAATCGGCTCACAGATAGCGGTAAGGTTGTCAGTCTTATTCGCCGGCCGCCCTTTAGCCCCAAGAATATTCCTGGTACTCATTTCTGTTAGAGGCTTAGTCAACCCCAGGGCCATAGTGCGGCTGGAAGGATTAGGTAAATTGAAAATATTCACCTCATCGGGATTCGGGCGGCAGAGAAAATGGTCCAACGAATGACAGAGCGACAGAGTAAGCGACAGAGCATCTGGAAACTTACGTCATATTCGCCTTGTCCACTAAAAGGGCATAGAGTTCGGTTTCACCTTCCGATAGCTGGAAGTTCGGCCGTACAATGGTTTACATTTCGACTCACAGGGCGTTTGTAATTCCACGAAATTTAGCCAACACCAACAACTTTACGTGCATTTGGCCTTATGTGTGTGTGTGTGTGTGTGTGTGTGGGGGGGGGATGTATTTTGTCAAGGCTTGGTCAAGTTGTCCTACATTGGTCGGCAGTGTTCATATTTCGTAAGCTGAAAACGGTTTCGAGCGCAAACACGAATACTGCGTGATTCCGTTTCCACATAAAATGCTTATCAACAATTCTAACCTCCAGTTTCCGTGCGTTAAGTAAACTATGTTAAGCTATTCTTCATGAGGGACTTTCCTCTCCGGAAGGATTTTTTTTCCATCTCCTCGCGCTTGCTGCTATCACAGTGGCGATACAGACGAGTGCTTCACGCGGGTGTTCCTGTCGGGGAACCACAGGAGCAGCGCCAGAACGTATCCTGGGCAAGCGCGGTCGATTGCAATAAGTCAGCCCGACCTTCGTCACTAGACAGACAGAGACCGTCTTCAACACAAGTGTGCTGCTGGCTCAGTTAGTTATGGCGGACGTGTGTGACGGCGTGTTGCAAACTTTCGTTGGTAACGGAAAGAAAATCGACTTGTTTATTAACAGCGGAGTATTGAGAGTTGTTGGTAATAGTTGTTTTGTAACCGTCACCCGGAACGAAGGGCAGATTGTGATCACGGGCAACAAGGGACACTTGCAAGTGATTGAGAACAGGGGCTATATCGGTTATACTGGAAATCGCGGTTTGGTTGAAGTGGGGACAGTTTCCAAAGGCATCGGACGAGTGGTGTACACCGGAAATGGTGGAAAGGTGAAGAAAATGACGACGAATGGGCTCGATGGGAAGTGTGGTGTAGAACCAAGCGGTACAACAAATCCATCTCCATCAAAGCAAGAAGATGCACATCAGGGTGAAACTGTAGGCACGCGTAATGAACTCATTGTGAATGGCGTTGAAGTGTGCTTCAATTCGAACTCAAAAAAGGACAGCCATCAAGGGGTAACCAAGGAAAATGTAAACCCCGAGAAGCTCAGAAGGACATCGAGGGAGTCAGGAAACTGCTGTTGCCATGGATCAAAAAAGATCTGGCGGCAGATATCCAGTAAAATCGGCGAAGAAGAGGCTGAAATTTTGACGTCGCGTCTGAGAGACCTTCAAGCTGTCAACCTGACAAGCTTTGAACTTGAGAATTGGTGTTTGAATCTAGCAACAGAACTGATTTCTTTGTAACTGAGTGAGTGAAAGTTGCGTGGAACGGTGATCTTAAAAATGGGTTAGAAGTTCCTACATAAATATATTGTTAACACACGCGGCTGAATGGTTTAAACTGTAATATCGGTTTTTAAAGTTTCCAAAGATAGTCTGTCGGTCTGTTACAGTTTCATTGTGTTCTTGCAAATTCATGGTACCAATTGTAAGCATGAAATGCATTTGTGAGTATTCAGGTGATAATTTTGTTTTATATGTAAGATTTAAGGAACTTTTTACTTTTATATTTTCCAAAAGAAATATGAATGTTCAGTATTCACAAAGAAAATAGCATATGCGCCACAGTGCAATTAACTACCTCAGTATCAAGTTAAGAAAAAATTATTCAATACTGTAAACATATCAAAACACGTTTTATGGTTGGATAAGATGCGCTTTCTAAGTCCAGTTAAGAAGGCAATAAGTTCATCAGAGCTCGGTTGACAGAACTAAGCACTGATAATGTAATTGATTGTGTTTCAGTTATATCTTCCAAGACAGTCATTAAAATTTTCAGTAGTCATTTTCAGCTTACGTCAAAATAATGAATTTCTAAAAGTAAGAGTCATTGTCTGTTTTGCAGCATCGAGTTTCGCAGGTTTGATATGTTTGCAGTAAGTGCATTTTAATAGTCGTCAGTTAAGACTGAATTCTATATGTCTAGATGAAAAGTACACTTCAGATGACTGATTTCTTATTTCTTATTTATTTACGGATTACCCGTCCATAATTCTCACGACAAACGAGGCATTTTCGAGAAAGTTTAGATAGAAATTAAACATATATTGCACACATATATATATAATTAACTTAAATACAAAATGCAGTAAATTCTTGTTATTTCGAATGGAGTTATTTTAAAATGCTAAATATGTTTTCTTGCCATCAACATTTATACCCACCGAATTCATTGTTTTCATATTGTGTGTGTGTGTAGAGTGGGTGAATTTACCAATACATCGGTCTGATGTTACACGTTGTTTTTATTTATCAGTTACAATTATTTTGGAGCCTTGAACCACTCTTTTGTCTTCTGTTTCAACGTTCCTTGCTTACGTTTCTCAGGGAAATGGGCAGACATGAGGCTGCTGAATTTGAACAGTGTTCAGTGACAATAAAACCGAATCAGTTCTGAAGAAGGCAGTCTTCTGGGCCGTGGCATCGTGTAGATATTGTGTTAACCGACGTTTCGGAGGAACATATCGCCTCCATCTTCAGGGTAGAATAAAAAAGAAAATCCGCGAGCAATAAACCAGCGTGATCAGGTGCCAATAGACCTGCTCACGCTGGTTCATCGCTCGCGGATTTTCTCCTTTTTTCTTCTACCCTGAAGATTGAGGCGATTCCTTCCTCCGAAACGTCGGTTAACACAATATCTACACGATGCCACAGCCCAGAAGACTGCCTTCTTCATAGTCACCGCCGTGAAAACCACAAATCTTACATACGAATCTGTTCAAACACTGTTCCCTTGCATTCACCGAAGTCGAAACGACAGTTCAGGTTCTGTATAATTAACAGATGTGATTTGGTTATGAAATTAAACAACCTCTGCAAATGCAGCTCAACATAGTAGGATGTTTTACGTCTCAAGCCACAGAAGTCTGGCTACACATTTGCGTTTTCAGCGGTTTTGATTAGTTTCTGCAAGAATTTCAGGGAAGTTCAAATCCCACCCACTTTCACTGCAATGCTGATTACAGTTTATCATCATTGCATGGGAACAGGTGCTGGGAAGAATTCTTTTTCTGTTGCATGTGCATTCGTTGAAGCGAGAACGTGTTTATCGAGCCGTTCCCTAGCACCAATAGGGGATACACATACGGACACACACAGACATAAAGGTGATCTCACAAACCTACTTTTATTAGCCTACTTTACTTATTTTGAAAAAAATAAAAGGCTTATAACATCACCTTGCTGCCTATGTATTAGTCTGTGCTTCTCTCATCGTTGCTAGGCAACGGCTCGGTAAACACGTTTCCGCGGTAACGAATACACGCGTTGGACGGTTCGTCTTCTATGCGGTGCGCGTCATATCAAAGGAAAGTAAGCGATTATTTCATCTCGGAACTTACTGTTAAAAGAAAGGTGAAAGTAGGGTAAAAATAACGCGTGTAACGGCAGGCAATACACACCTCTGACTTTTTCATACTACCTATGAAAGCTGTGTTTAGATGTTTGGCATCTGTGGCCATGAGGGAAATAGCTTTCATTGTGCCAAAAGCGCGAAGGCACGAGACTGAAGTCTCCCAATTTATTGGTATGCGTAGGTACGTCTCCTGACTTCTTTACCACTTTATACTGCAGACGCATTTCGGCCCCGTTGTTCTATTATCCGTGCATTTCCTGCCTCACAATTTGTATGCACTCATTATAGTTCAGAAGAACTAAAACGCTTCTGCAGTATAATGGAGTAAGCTAAGTTGATTTAGTTCCGAAATATGAATGGAATAGACCTACTTATCCCGTAACGTTACTTGTGTTCTGCAAGCACAGGGAAACGTTAACACCTAAATTACGCACAAAGGAGCTGCCGTGCGATGCTCATCACTCACCTCCGTCTAATACAAAGATTAAGAATATATGGAGCTGTACCTCCATTCCGTCGTCCTCATTGTGTGGTCCTTAATTGAGCACAACTACAGCTTAGCTTTTGTTTATAAGAGACCTCCACTGGTCCCTATCTTAAACCAGTTTAGTCCTGTCCATACGTCCCCTCCGTGTTCTTTAAGGTGCATTTTAGTACTGCCCCCCCCCAATCTTCGTCTAGACTTGCCTAGTTTCTTCCCTTTAGTTTTCCGACTAAAATTTTGAATACATTTCTCATCTCGCCCATTCATACTACATGTTCTGTCCGTCTTATCTTAATTTGATCACCGCAGTAATATATAGTGAATAGTACAAATTAAGAAGCAGCTCGTTATGTGACGCGCTACGGGCCGGACGGCCGCGGAATCGGGGCTTGATTTCCGGCAGGGCCAAGGGACTGCCTGTTGATCGGGTCTGGCGCCCACCCAGCCTATCCAGTGAGTACTGACGACTCCATTCCAGGAGGTAAGACGGCCGGGGCACGAAGCTGACGTCCATGTTGTGTCGAAGTCAAGAATACATGACTATATTCTCCCATACGTCTTCGTGGAATGGTGCTTAATTAGTTAAGCACAGGAACAACTTCGCTTTTACTTAACCTAACGTAACTTTACCCACACTATCTAGCTATGGGTTTACAGCCCTTGTGGACCTTGGCCGTTTTTCAGTTTCTCAACCCTATACACAGTCAGTATGACTCCTTGGACGGGGGATCAGCCTCTCACAAGAGCGCTACTTACACACAGAACAACACAAACACCGGATAAACGCACACAGACGTCCATGCCTGTAGTGGGATTCAAACCCACGATTGCAGTGTTCGAGAGGGCGCAGACAGTTCATGTCTTAGACCGCACGGCAACTGTGATTGTCCTTTACCCATACTCCTGTTCAGTCCATCTTAGGTATAAATATTCGCTTCAGCGACCAGTTTCTAAACACCTATCGTAGAACACTATCTTCTGGGTTGTAACGCCCTGAGAATGGAGGCAGCACGGTCCTTCGAAGCTATCGCTGCGGGAACCTCGTATCTAACATCCCCTATCATGTTTTACCCTGGGAAGGGAGGCGGGATTTCAGCTTCTAATTGTGTCTTTACATGCTTCAGATACTCATTGAAGTTAATATAATTTCCCTACTATGGCGGCGACGAAGTTTAAGACGGAACCGCCAGAATGAGCGTCTGATGGCGGTAGTGCCTGAAGAGCTACACTGAATTTAATTAGCATTTGTCAAGATTTGCTGAGAAAATAAAAAGAGTTGTCCGAAACGAACGGAATGAGAGAGAACGACACCAAGCCCCTTGAACTAGCCCTGTGATTCGCGGAATGAGTACACATTGTTGCAGAAATAAAGAGCGGATGTCTGGAAGTGACGGTAACAGATGAAAATTATATTCACGAAGAAGTGAAGAGCAGGTTAAGTTTGGGTGATGCTATAATTCACTTCAGAATATTCTGTTTTCGCCTCTGCTATCTAAAAACATAGCCGGTCACAAGAGCCGCGCTGTCGTAAGACATGAACTGTCTTCACTCGCTCGGGCCCTAGGATTGTGGGTTCGAATCACACTTAAGGCATGGATGTTTGGTGTGCGATTATTCTGTGTCTGTCTTGTCCTCTGTTTCAGTATCAGCCTTGCGACGGGCTGATCAATCTTTCAAGGAGTCCTGCCGTCTGTGAAAAACGATACGGAACTTAATAAGAGGCCAGGGCCCTGAATGGGCTGGAAGAGCCATTGAAAAAAAATATCTAAAAACATAAAGGTAAAATTAGTTATGGAAAACTGTAAATTTACCTCTTATTTTGTATAGGTGTGAAACTTCATCTCTTATGAAAAACATTTGGACGAAAGGGGAAGTGATAGGAGGATGGTGGAGAAAATTACGTAACGAGGAACATATTATCATTAACTCCTCATCAAGTATTATTCGGATGCTCAGACATGTAGCATGCAGGAGAAATATGAGAAATGCATTCTGAATTTTAAAAATTAGGATGGGAGGGTGTAGACTGGATTTGTTTGGCCTAGGATAGGGTCCATATCTTGTGGATGTGGTAGTAAACATTCAAGTTCCAAAGAAGGCAGGAAATTTCTAAGATTAGCTGAGCAACTGTTAGCTTCTCACGAAGAATACAGATCCTTGGAGTTACCTACTTAGTTCTACTTCAGAGAGAATGGCGCTAATCGAGGGATGTACAAACCTCGATTCTGAAGTGATTACTTTAGGCACAGTGTTTAAATATTTGTTTCTTGTTGATGTCAAAATGATGAAGAGTTACAGCATTACATAACATTTCGATTGCCAGAGTTATGGTTCTTTGACTTCTTGGCATGTACTCGTACAACAAAAAGATCTCCAGCGCTCGCCTGTCTTATACATGAGAAAGTAAGAAATACTGAGCCCGAAGATTATTGGTAGGCTGGAAATTACATTGGCCTGTAGACGTGTAGCACGGTCTCCTAATTGCACAGTGCGTTTATAATTCTTATAAACATGTCAAAATTAGGTTCACAATTCTGACTTCAGAGTGGCAAGGACTGAATCATTCCTACGCTGTTTTCCGCTGACTGGTTAACCCATACCCCCTTACATCAGACTGTAGTTACGTTACTGGAAAGAACCTATGGAAAATTGATTCAGTTTCGTGGAACCCAGCCGGGATGCCTCAGTCGGTATAGCGACTGTCTATGGGCTGGGTGACCGAGGAGTCGGAGTTCTAGTCCCGGTATGGTCAAGAATTTTCTCCACGTTGTCCAGACCGGCTCTGAGGCCCACCAGCCTCCTATCCAATGGGTACCAGGGGCTCTTTCACTGGGGTGTAAAGTGGCCGGGGCGTGAAGCTGGCCACTCACCTCCAAGTGACGAGGTCAAGAAGACGTGGATCTATACATCCACTCCGCCGATCACGGTGTCCGCGCGGTCTAAGGCATAAACTGTCTTCACTCACTTGAACGCTGGGATCGTGGGTTCGAATCTCACTCAAGAGATGAATGTCTGTATTGTGTCGCATTTATTCTGTGTTTGTGTTGTCCTATATGTGGGTAGCGGCCTTGCGACTGGCTGATCCCCCGGTCAAGGAGTCTTACCGACTGTGTATAGGATTAAGAATTCGAAAAAGCGGCCAAGGTCCAAGAAAAGGACTGCAGAGCCATAGACACATACTTCCACTTCCCCACACATCGTCATGGGGTCGTCGTCAACTAGTTAAGCGCAGGGACAACTTTACCTTACCTTAACGAACACACGTTTACGTATTTACAGTTTTATGGTATTTTTTTTTATTGCTAGTGGGGTGGGACTACTCGTAAGTCCCTTGTACTGCGGCAACTTCTGGCCTATTGTACCAGCCCCAGATGATAGGTGAGGGTGACTGTGGAGC